AAATTTTAATAGAACTTTTAGAATCTATAACATAACTCAAACAATTAAACACTTTGCACTCTTTAAAGAAAGATAAAAATTAAACATAATATTCATACCATTCAATAATCACAAGCAACTAATTGTTTCAAATAACAAACACTAATCTGAGTTCACTCAAGGATTGAAATATATAATATCATCATTTCATACCATCAATAGATATTGATATATCAGAAAGTAATGGATTTCCAATAAAAGAAAAATAATAGTACTGTTTAATCAAAGACTAGAAAGCTTTTTATAAACAAAATTGAATTCTGAACACAATTCAACATTGTTATCGAAAACATTAAAAACCTGAATTTAGTCTAATTGATAATATCATTAATATTTTGTAAAGAAAATTATCACTAAATTGGTTGAGATGAACCCATTGAATTGAATAAGTTTATAATTTTGCCTTCAAAAATATGGCACATGACATTTATGTATGTATTTTTTATAAAAAAATGTTAAGAGTTGTAATCAATTAGACCAAATTAAGACAAAATCGAGCCAATTAAATTTATAGGGACTAAAATGACAAAGTACAAGAATTTAAATCATAATTTGTCCAAAGAAAAATGATATAGAAGTCTATTTTCTAGACTCACTTGTGAGAAGAGATGATTAGTTAATGATTAAATAAAAGGTAATTTATATTGACATCTCTTGAGGTTTAGTTCAATTACATCTTATCGTCTGACATTCTGGAAATTATATTTCTACCCATGTGGTCTCATTTAATAAATCCACTATTTATATAAAAGGCAACACCTCCTAGTAGAAAAATAGAGGAAATTACATTAAAAAAAAAGTAAAGAAAAGGAGGAGGGGGGAAACAGAGGAAGTAAAGCAAAACACGAAAAGAGATAGTGCATGAGTTCAATATTTTCATTCCGTATAAATAATTACAATGACAAGAGAATTAATGTAATTTTTCAAATGTCAGAGAGTGATATGTATAAAACTCGAATCTCAGGAGTGTAAATGTAATTTATTCTTAAGTAAAACAAAAAAAAGGAAATTATCTTAAATATTTTAATAATTTATCACATTATTAAATTTAAAAAACAAGTAACTTTAAATTAAAATATCACTACCCTCGCAAAATAATATTTTAGATACCTTAGAGCATCTTTGTTAGGTGGCTCCAAATAGCAAACTTTACTCTTTCATTTTTTGCTCCAATGGATATAAATGTGGTAGTAATTTTGTTAAGGTGCTGGGTCTCAGATCGACTGGAGGATATTATTGGATTCGTAAAGGTTCACTACGGGTTATGTTTTCATAATTCGAATTGTTCAATGTGTAAAACTCGTTGAGTATTATATGCCTGTAAAAAATCACATTGATCGGATAGCGATAGCTATTTCATTGGATCAAATTTCTGTCAACCGTTTATTTTTTCACTGTTCATTTTTTTAATACAAAACTAATTTAATCACATAACTATCGATATCCGATCAACGTGATTTTTTATAACCATATAGTACTCGACGAGTTCTATACATTCACGATTTGGATTATCGAACTGGGACTCGTAGTGAACCCTCAAGAATCCAACAGTACCCTTTAGTCTGATATGAGATTAAAGAGAAGGTAGACCCTTTTGTGAACATGCTCACTGCAGTTAGAGTATTCACATTATGTTCAACAAATTTGAACTAAATTATAATTTAAAAATTAATTTTTTTCTATTTTATTTAGTATTTTTTTTGTATATACACCTTTGTCAGACTTTTTATTCTAAAATTTAATTTTATAAAATATTTATTTTTATGATCTATTGAATTATGCAAATAACTGTCCAAAGTAACTTCTAGAAGGTTCTTGCCATATTTCTCAAATAATAATAATAATAGTGATGGTGCACAGTTGGTCATTTGGTCCGGTCGGATGACTGGTCAGATGTCTGATAATAAATGATAAATTGTTATATTTTATATTAAAAGAAATGATATAGCAGCTGGTCGTCCAACAGAATGTCCAGCCGGATAACTAGCAAGATATTTGGTTACTCTTAAAAATAAATGATAAAATATTATATAACTTATGAACAATGTATCTTATATGTAACAATTTACTATAACAATGTCAAATTTAATTTTAATGTAACAAAACTGATAAAGAAATGATTTTATATATTACTAAGGGGTTGTTTGGAATGTTCTAAATAAGTGCACTTTTTGACTTTTAATGAAATATGAATCGAGTATGAGTTAGGTTTAAAGTGATATAACTTAAATAAGATGATGTGATTTAAATAAGATAATAATTTTTTGACTTTTTATCTCTTCTAAGAGATGACAAACAAAGCCTAAGTAAATTTTGTCCTAAACTTATAATAGTCAGCTTAATGTGGATGCTATTAGCTAGGCAGTTTAATGAATACGGAATGAGAGAGAGAAAAAAGAGAGGGTGAGTGTGTGTGTGAGGGGTGTTTTGAAAAGGTAGTTATAAAACTTTTTAATATTTTTTTATGCAAAAGAAAGAAAAGAAGAAAAAGAAAAATTTACCTTGAAAAAGTGGAGAAAGAGAGAAAAAGAATGGAGGTTCGCCGGAAAAAATGGTGGTCGCCGGAGTTTCGCCGGACGGAGAGGGAAGTGGTGCCGGCGGTGAGATGATGGTGGTGAGGAAGAAGAAAGAAGAAGAAAAGGAAAGAAGAAGAAGAAGAAGAAGAAGATGGGTTTGTGGGGATAAGAGAGAGAGAGAGAGAGATAGAGATCTGAGAGTGTGAGAGTGTGAGAGTGATTGGGAGAGAGAGAGAGAGTAGATAAGATGGGTTTATGATTTTTTTTTTTTTTTGGTACGAAAATTAAAAAAAACAAAATTAAAAAAAATAAGAAAAAAAAACAAATTTTTTTTTTTTTTTGGTACGAAAATTAAAAATAAAAATAACAAAAAAACAAAATGAAAATAAAAAAAAAATAGTAAATGAAAATAATAAGAAAAAAAAACAAATTTTTTTTTTTTTTGGTACGAAAATTAAAAATAAAAATAACAAAAAAACAAAATGAAAATAAAAAAAAAATAGTAAATGAAAATAATAAGAAAACAAAACAATTTTTTTTTTTTTTTTAAATTTTTCCACCCCGCACGTGCGGAAGTGAAGGCCGCACATGCGGCGATTCCATCCCCGCGCTTCTCTTTTTCTTTTTTTTTTTTATTTTTTTTGGGGTGTGGTGCCTGCTCTGATAATACATAGGTTCTGAGAGTTGATTATTTTAATAAATTATTTTAGTTTTTAGTTATTTTAATAGGTTAAAATTTATATATTTGAAAAGATAGTTAGATTTTTTGTAATTATATATAATATTTGTGAGAAAAAAAGTAAAATAATTATGAATTTGATGTGATATTTTATTTTATTGACTATTTTAGTCTATTTTTATTTTTGTGATTTCTAGCTAAAAATCCTTCAAACCCAACTTGCCAAACACCCACATAATTTAACACACATATAATTATACCATCTAAATTAAAAAAACTTAACAAACACAAATGAGTCTTACTTTTATCATTTTTTATTTTATAAAATCAATAACGGAGTTAGAAATTTAACATAGAGATACAAATGAATGACAATATTGATTTTTTTTCATAATAAACAATAATGAAATATTACAAAACTTATATATTATAAGTCCATTGGGATAAATATGAATTTCAAATTGAGGGATTGGAGGTTGAATTTTATAAAAATAATGGAGATTAACTATTATAAGTATATTGGAAAATTATAAGATAAAATAAATCGAGATAGAAATGATCTATTTTAATAGAAAATTTTTATAAAACACATCGCAAAAAAATATGTATTGTACGTCGCAGCTATGATCTTTGTATGGTTATGACACATTATGATGTTAATTATGACTCGTTGTAGTGTTGATTATAACTTAGTAATAATTTATTGTGACTGTTATTTTGGTTATGATCTTTGATTATAATTTATTGTGATATTAGTTATGACTTAATTATGATCTATTGAGATTATTTTTAGGTTATGACCGGTGTTTGGTTATTATTTATTATGGCCCTTAAGTTATAACCGGAAATAATTTAGTTCTAATAATTTAAGATATTAATATTACAAAATATCATAACTTGTATATGCGAGCGTATGGTAAAAAGATTCATTTTAGTAGAATCTTTGTAATTAGAATGAAAATCCTTAATAAAGGGACATTATTACAATTTTAAGGGGGAAACTATTACAATTTTATAAAAGATATATAAGGTATAATTTATATGTGTTAGGATATTAGTAGAATTATCAAAAATCGCGGGGGGCATGTGACCCTCCAGTTCTATTGTGGCTTTGTTCTTATATAACACACTTTAACATATATTTTTAGTTATGAGTAATATTACTAAGTATCATAAAAATTTAGGCTTCGTTTGGCAACCGAACTTTTTAGTCAAAAAGTCAAAAAGTTACTAAATTAGCCAAAAAACCAACAATCCATACCAAAAAGTCAAAGATTCTCTTTTCTCTCTACTTTTCACACATTTTTTCGTAAAAAGTCAAAAAGTCATCCTAAACATACTAGTTTTTTTTAACTCATATTTTAGCCAAATAGCTAAAAAATTAGTAAATTAACTTGTTCCCAAACAGTAAAAACTCTAAACTTTTAAATTTTATATACAATAAAATACCACATTAATCAAATGATAAAAAAATTTAATAAAAGATATCATCTATTTCTTTTCTATACCTAAATTACTCTTTGACTATACCATTAGAGATGCCGTTAGCCCACGCATTTAGCTAGGTTAGGTGGGACTTGCATGAAACAGCATCAAGCCAAAAGCCAAACAACCAAACTGCCAAATTACCAAACAACAATATGAACAAAAGATCAATAATAATAAAACCAAATGAGTAATGTTACCTATTATCAAATAAATATTATGAAAAATTTTATAAAATTAATTTAAGAATGATTACATAACATATAATAAAACATTACAAATTAATCAGAAGGTAAAAAATCTTCATAAAGACTTTTTTATGATATTTCTTTCATGATACATAACATTATTGAAACTAAATTAAAATCTATAATTAAAGTCCTTAATAAATATTTAAAAAAAATTAAAATTACAAAGTCACATTCCCGCCAAATCTCATTGTCTGCAGTTCCAATCGTTCCCAAATCCCACAACAACAACAATAACAATCCCAAATCTTCTAGCTTCTCTTATTCTTGCTTCCAAAACACAAAGCAAAATAAAACAGAATCCTAAAGAAAAACCCCAACCCAACAGTGATCAACAAGCAATTCCACTTACTTATATCAGTAACAGCTTGAGTCCTCAATATATCAGAACCAGTAGTCAAGCAAGTAGAGCTAGTAATATTCATGCCCAGAGTCTTGCTCATTGTCTTCAACAACTCCAGCTTCAGCGCCCCCGGCACCGTCCCCAACGGCGAGTTATCGAAGATCTGCACCCCCCTCACAAAGCACTTGTTGGGGTCGCTAAACTCGTTCTGTAAAACGCCTTCATACGGGTACTTGGTTAAAGACATGTAGTGAAACCACAACCAGTACTTGGGGATTCGATCCGGGGTTATGAAAAAACCGCTGAAGAGGAGAAAATAGGCTAAGATTGCGACGACTACGGTGTAGCCTAACATTACGTGGGAGACGACGCCGGAGAGGAAGGTTACGAATGAGCTGCCGGCCCAGAATGCGGCGATGACGAAGAGGAAGAACATGGCGAAGCCGGGGAGGCCGCCTGCGAGGCCTACGGCGAAGAAAGTGATGAGGGAGAAGGCCAGGGACAGGAAGAAGATTGAGGGGATTGTGGTGATGGCATGAGAGAAGACGTAGGAGGATCGGCGGTACGCGTTGTAAGCTGTTTCTCTCATGAAGATGTAGCGTTCCATTAGGAACACTGGTATGGCTTCTGCGCATGTGTAGAATGTTGTCGACATTGCGAATGCGAAAAAACCGATTCTCTCTTGTACTCCTTTTGGGGAATTGTCGAGTTTCCAGAACATTGTGGCTAAGATGACTCCTGTGACGATCACGGCCCCTAGTCGAATCCCGAAGAGTTCGGGCATTCGACGGGAGTTTGTTATCGATCGTCTGGCGATCACGATCGATTCAATCCAGAATGGGTTTGCGAATTTCTGAACAGAAGTAGTCAGATCTGAAGAATTCACGCTTGTCGAGCCTGAAACTAGCTTTCCTTTCGAAATACTTGCATTTATAGCATCTTTGAGAGACTGGGTTGGCCGATTGTTTGTGTAGCTGCAGAGACTGTTTTTGATTCGCCATGATTTGTTGAAATCGACTAGGTTTTTGGTTCCGGTTGGAGACTCTTCGAGTTCTCGAATAAAATCAAGAGCGAATTCACTCCGGTTTTCGTTTTCCGGAATTGGATGTCCGAATTCGGAAAAGAAAGCCGGAAGACTCGTGGGAGACCCGCTGAAAACGGTCTGTCCGCGCGATAAAAAGATCAAACTATCGAGCAAGTTGAGGATTCTGTAACTAGGCTGATGAATCGACAAAATAACTATGCTTCCGCTTTGAGCGATTCTCTGCAGTACCTTCACCACCATGAACGCGCTTGTCGAGTCAAGCCCCGAGGTGGGTTCGTCGAGAAAAAGCACGATCGGGTCGTGAATTATGTCGGTTCCGATCGAAACACGACGTCGTTCGCCGCCCGAAACTCCCCTATGGCCTTCGTCTCCGATCACCGTCTTGGCGGCGTTTCGCAGACCCAATTGATCGATCAGAGCTTCGACTCTGGCTTTCTTTTTCGACGGCGAGAGAGTCCTCGGAAGCCGAAACTCGGCCGAGAACATTAGAGTTTCTTCGACTGTTAACATCGGAAACAGTAAGTCGTCTTGCATGACATAAGCCGAAATCACTTTCGAAAGCTTCGATTCCAATACTTCACCGTTCAAAGTCACAGTCCCTTTCAAGCTCTCTTTCGAAATCCGATCAGCGAGCGCGTCGATCAGCGTCGATTTCCCGGACCCACTAGCCCCAAGAACGGCCATGATCTCGCCTTCCCTCGCCTCCCCGGAGATATCATTCAGCAAAATCTTCCTCTCCTCCGGCAAATCACTGGTCCTAAAGCACGCCGGAATTGTCATTTTCCGGCTAGCGTTCACGCTATAAGTAAGATTGTTAAAAGAGAGAATGAACGGAAATGAGGCCGGTTCCGGTAAGGGCATAACGAGGACGCGGTGGTCCGGCGAGGTGTGGGCGTCGCCGACGAGCTGTAAAAGCTCGCCGAGAGTGTGGGAGACGGTATGTTTGGGTTTTCGGGTGAATTCTTGGAGCTCCATGATTTGTCTCGCACCCAAAAATGGTGTGTCGCTGCTAATCGAGGAAGACGACATGGTATCGGCAGCACCAACATGAGACATTCGAGGGAGTGTTTGTGTTGTTTGGTTGGTGATTGAGAAGTGAAAAAAGTGTGATATATAGGAAGAAGAGGAGAGGGAAGAATTGGGTTTTCAAGGGTGGATCAAATTAATCAATGCCATTACATTTTGGTTAATTTATTGGATTTGAATTTTGATGATTGTGTGTAGTGTAGAGTTGGTTTGGTGGTTTCGTGTAGTGGTGTGTGAGTGTGAGTAGGTGAGAAGTTGTACTGATTTTCTACTGGTTCTGTATCTTCTTCTAATGAATAAGTCCCAAGGGCATGACATGGGGATGGAGGGAGAGAATCCAAACGTCATGGGGGTCAGTCTTAGTAAAGTCTACCTTTGGGTTTCTTGTGAAAGGGTTCATCAAGTTGGGTTGGCCATGCAATTGGATTAATTCTATAGAATTAACCAACTACTACATAATCCATCACCAAAAAAACAAAGAAAGAAAAAAGACAAAAGAAGAAAGTAATAATGGTTATACAAATTAGATCCCATTAAAAAAAAAAATTACAAATTAGATTGATAGAAAAGGACTACAATCCATTACATATTTGTAATTGAGAGGTTTCATTATATTATCTAACAGTAAGTATAATGATTTTTTTTTCTTAATTTAAAATAATTATATATTTTTATTTGTATGTCATAATCATAAGATATATAATGAAAATCCTTTATTACAAACATGTAACGGAAAATATCTTTAGATCCCATTAAAAAAAAAAAATTACAAATTAGATTGGTAGAAAAGGACTGCAATCCATTACATATTTGTAATCGAGAGGTTTCGTTATATTATCTAACAGTAAGTATAATGATTTTTTTTTCTTAATTTAAAATAATTATATATTTTTATTTGTATGTCATAATCATAAGATATATAATGAAAATCCTTTATTACAAACATGTAACGGAAAATATCTACATCCGCTAGAAAATACATGACAATAAGAATTTTCACTCATCGAATTTGATGGTAAATGAGAAAATGTTGACATTCGCATTTTTGATTTTGTCGAGTGAATTTTGGTCATCATAAGATGTGTAATCTATAAAGTTGTAAAACGAATCAAATTTATTGAGTTTGACTCGGATTCATTAAATATTTGTTTAACTATTTTTAAACAAATTAAGTCTAAACACAGTGCAAATCTTGTTTACTTTTTAGGCAAGCAACCTACAATTTCGTTTAACTCAGCTTGATTTATATGTATTATAGAAATTAAGCTACTCAAATTTAACATGATTAAAATTCGTTGGAGATCAATTCAAAAAATGAACGAGTTAAATTTGAATACATTTTGAAATTTGTTTAAGTTTCCAATTCAAAAGTTTAAGAGGTATGAATCCATTATCCTCAATTTAACTTTGATTTGAACACATTTTGAAATTGGTTAAGTTCAATTTGAACAAAAAATTTACAATTGTTAAGTTTTTGTGATTGGCAACAAAACATCTTTCAGTTGTAATTTTATTCGCTCTTATGTTTCAGTGAGGATGTGAGTATTTAGGTACAAATCCAACTCAAATTGTACCTACACAGAGAAGGTTGTGATCTTGAGGCTTTTATATATGTCACTTCGCTGACTATGTCGAGGGGCAGCGCCCACGTAACCAAAGTTGTTTGACTACTCACGCGGTCATTTGTGCGTTTGAGTAGTGAATGGTATCATCCAGTACTTTTGCAGAGCGCTTGAACTTTTAGGAAACAAGTTTTACCTCTCGAGCAGCGAAAGTTAAGCTCGAGCGGTCGACCTATATATTTTGCACCACTTTTACTCACATCGCTTGAGCGATCTGCGCAATCTTGTTTTCTATAAAGTGCGTTGTTCGCTGTTTTTAGGATTTAAATCGTCCAAAATTTTAGAGAACAGGAAAAGACAAAGTGTTTTCTAATGGAGGCTATTTTATATGAGTTTTCTTGGTGTATAAAAGGTGATCCATTGATCAACGAACTATAGATTGGCCAACATCAAGAGTTGTTTTTATTATTTCGTTCACAAAAGAGAGTGAGAGAGTTATTCTTCAGTGGATTCTGGAGAATTTGGGCCTAAAACTTTGATGGATTCTGGAGTGGCTCATCATTGTAAATTCGATATCGGCATTGTAGATTCAACGTTGGGCAAGACAATTCCAAGGTGAAGATGGTAGTGGAAGAAACACATTGTAATCGGTTCAATTCGGGTGTGAATTTGCTAAGTAATTAAGGGTATGCTTGTATAATTTCCTTTTTGTCTTCTTAGTAGATTGTTTTGTGGTTTTGGCCCATGATTTTTTTATCACAACTGGAGGTGTTTCAATTATGATTTTTCTACGTTAAATCGTTGTGTCGATTTGTCTTTGATTGTTTGATAAGAATTGTTATTCATTTTTTAAAATTGAAACATAATCACAAATCAATATCTCGGGAATTTTAAAATTTTCAATTGGTGTCAGTGAAGGTCGCTCAATTTTTATTTTTTTTCCAAACTATTAGAGCGAGATCTTGTTTGATTTGTGATAATGGATTCAATTCGTGAAGGGAATTCTACGGTTTGATCATCCTTACTTAACGGATCCAATTATTTTTTTTGGAAAGCTCGGATGAGAGCATTTTTAAAATCGATTGATGAAAAAGTTTGGCAATCCGTCATGTGTGGGTGAACCGAACTAATGATTACCATTGATGGAGTAACATTCCCCTAATCAATTGATAAATGGGACACAATTGATTACCAAAATAGTAGTTAGAATAGTAAAGCTATCAATTATCTCTTTTGCGCCGTCACACCAGAAAAGTTTAGTCGCATTTGTAATTGTCAAGTCACAAAAGAGGCTTGAGGAATTTTACAAACTATTCATGAGGGCACTCTTTCGGTTAAACGCTCAAAACTTCAAATGCTCACTTTTAGTTTCAAAGACCTTTCAATAAAAAATAATGAGACATTTGATGAATTTTATGCAAAGTTGAGTGACACTGTAAATTCCAGCTTCAATTTAGGTAAAAAACATATCGGAATCCAATATTGTGGGAAACATTTTAAGGTCCTTACCCGATCGATTTCAACCAAAAGTTACGGCTATTGAGAAAGCTCAAGATGTTGACAACCTCAAGCTAGACTATTTGGTTGGAAATCTTCAAACCTATGAGGCACACATAAATTTCAAAAAGAAACAAAAATATGATATTGTTTTTAATAGTACTTATAGAGTTGGAAAGAATTCCAATGAGGATTGTGAGTTTGATTTTAAGATTAAGGATGCTTTTGTAAAACAATTTAAAGTTTTTTTTTCTCCTTTGAAAAAGAAACCTAATCTTTTGGAATCAATTCAAAAATCCAAAAGATTCTATAACTAAGAAGAAGAAAGGAAACATACAAAGGAACTCTCAAAGAGTCCAATACTATGAATGCCAAGGTTTTAGCCACTTTGCTCAAGAATGTCCTAATCGTTTGAGAAAGAAGAAAGCTTTCGCTATCACTTGGGATGATGAATCAGAGTCTGATAAGAATGAAAGTAACAATGAGGTTCAAGACGAAGAGGGGCATGAACAATTTCTTGCTTTCATGGCAGTTTCCGGAGCTGAAGGACAAATAGAGTATCCTAAGAGGCCGGTTGAGAATGTCACTGATGATAAATCCTCAAGGAGTGATTATGAAGAGCTTCAGCAAACTTATAAAAGGTTGTATAAGGAATATCTTAACTTATTTAAATTGAATGACAAACTCACTATCAAAATCAAAGCTTATGAAAATGAGAATGACAAACTAAATGAAGAGATTTCCGAGATTAGGAATGATGCTATCAAGATCTCTAATAATCGACAAGCTCTTTGTGAAAAACTCTTGAGTGAGATAGAGAGAAATGAGCTACAGCAAATCTATGCAACATATGAAGAAAACATTGAAACTCTCGAGATGTCTCAAGTTACCTTGGAAGAGCTAGTCGTCAAGAAAAAGGAAGGACTCAAGTGTACTAGGGCTACCATTGGTCTTCAGAACAAGTGATCAAAGACTTTGGACGATATCATTGTGTGATAACCCCAACATGCATATCATTATTTCATATTATATTATTATGTGAATTTGTATGTTTATGTGCTTAATTTTGCTTATATATGTTTGATTATGAAATATTTGTAAGAATGCTTGTTTTGAATTAGAAATTGAAAGTGTGGAGAAGTGGTTTTGGAAATACTCTTCTGATCCTGGGAGACGCTATGATTCTCTTCTAGCCACCTGAAAAGAGATAAACACTCCGGTCGGGGGTGCTAGAATTAGCACTCCGACGAGCAAGTTCGTTTTTGCACTCAAGATTACTTGTATTCTAAGTTAAGCTCAACAGTTCTCACATACCTCTTTCTGGCTGACGTTCTTCTATTTATATTCTTTATTTCCTGGGCCTCGGGATTAGGTCCATTTTCCACTCGCTATTCGGCATATTTTGTAGTAAACCGCTCGGCCCCTCTTCACTCGGCCCTTGCTTAACCGGCTATTTGACCGAGTAGGGTTGGATTCGAGAATGTGAGCCCACGCCAAATGCCACATATTTCGACTTTCCTGAGTTCGATTATCCGGAATCTCTATGACTCCTAATTCTTGGCCCCCACAATTGCCCCCAAACACTCCATTAACGACAGTTGGCTGGAGATTTTGGCTTCGAACTTGAAAAGTCAGAGACGAAATTTGGCGGCTGATCGTATTCCAACGCAAATGTCTGAACACACGCTTCTCGGTTATAATTTCAACTTCACGTCTCTTCCTACATTTCTATTTATTGCGATTTAAAATTTTGACGTCTTTTCAAATACATACATGCTTTTAGACGCTCGTTACTGGATTTCCTTCCGAATTACCTCTGCAACTTCCTTTTCTTCTCTATCCTCTTCGCCTCTTGTAAGTTCTCTCTTTCTTTGCTTTGAATCTTTTTTCTTGTCTTGTTTTTGGCTTAGCACATTCCTATTAGCTGGGAAAAATGGTAAAACATTTAAAAGACCTCCTTTCACCGGATCAAATTTCTGGCTTCCAACGCCATTTTTCTATTCCTGATGACGTCCGTCTGTCATTTGTGACAGACGGCACCCTCGACATGGAGAGAGTTGATGAAACCACGATCGTCTTCCCTCTTCTATCAATCGCAGAGGGTGGGGTCCGTTTTTCCCTTCACCCGCTCCTTAGGGCTGTACTCTACCATTGGGGCTTAA